ACCATGAGTGGCAGGTGGCTGAATTTTACGGAGACTTGCCACGGTCTCCAACCCTCCTCCTTTCTCAACTGGGCTTGGGACCGGCCACTTTCTAAATTACTTCCCCGTAAAATGAATGGTGGAGTGTTTTTATTATGCCTTTTACCCTTTGAACATAGGACCACTTCGTTTTCTTTTCTAGCATCATTTAAAGGATTTGTTGATTTAAGCCGTCGTATATGCAGTAAGGTGGATGAATGGAAGATCTAGACAACACTTAATGAATGATACGAGGATATGAAAAGGAATTAAATATTTTCGCGTTGTTTTGTTATTTAAATGCGTGATATGTGGCGAAATTTTGCCTATGGTTGTATAGTGGTTCTTCATTCGTTAAGCGGAGAAGGGCGTTACTTGACATTAGTAGTAATATTATTGTATATTCATACGGTAGTATGCGTAACATGGAGCAGTTCATACATGGTTGAAGCACTGCACTATTACTATGTAATAGCATGAATATGCTTTGTGCTGTATATCACTATGCCGTTAAGCTCAGTGATAATAAAAGTTAAAAATATAATTTCTACACATTTAGGATGTTGGATAAGGTATTTTTCGAACGGTACCCGATTCTGTACCATTCAATGATAGGTCATTTCCGCAAATTGCCTGGTTTTCCTCGTTTTCGTGTTGATGGCGATTCTGCGGTCACTCTTACTGACCTACAGCTATTCGCTCTCCTGTTCTTATTGTGCCGCCTTCATCCGCTGCTTGAATTTCATGCGACTTCGTATGCTACGAAGCATAGCTATCTAGATGCATTCGTCCCGTTTGTCTTGGAAGTGTTGTTGACCAACCGTGCTGAACAGTTGCGCTCATTGTGCGCTTCAGCGTTATGCAGTATTCTACCGCTCTGGAAAATTCCTGATATGGTGGAACATCTGTCCGATTTGCTAATGACTTCGACCATACGACAGAATGCGGCGAATGGTATTCTTCATTTCGTAAGTATCTGTTAGTTTGTTTAGATTTATTACTGCTGCTGCTGCTGCACGGCCATTCTCTCAGTTCTTCGGAGGACTGTTTCCTCCGTGATACTGTGTTGGTATAGTATTATGCTGTCATTGTCACGGTAGGCATTCGTTTCTGTTGATTTTCGAAAGTCTTAGGAAACAGTGAGTTTCTTACCCCTTTCTTTCCTGCTTTTCTTATCTACCTGCGTTCTAACCTGACCCTCCCCCTCACCTACGCGGTTCATCGCTTTTCGTTGGTGTAAAAGATTTGCAGCTAACATATTGACACCTAGCGCGTAAGGCCACCTGTCGTAATTATCGCCGACATGATTGCTGACGACACAGGCGACGATCGATAATTGGTACTACGAAAAGAAACGGAGAACCGCATGAAGACAGACGTACAACTGGTCCTTCTCGAAATGGTCTGCAACATTCGTAGGGGCCACAAAGTTTATCTTCATGTGCTCTGTTGCGAATCTGTTAACGTTGCGGCGGTCGCTCCTCAATTGGATGGAGATCAAGGCGTTCGCCTCTTGGAACAGTAGCTGAGTTTCGACCTCCAAGTCACCTCGAGAGCTGTTCTTATCACACCACTTCAACTGTCAGTTACCTTCAAGCCGTTGATGCCCTTCACGTAGTAGGTCATTCGCTTCAGGCCAAAAAATGCACAGCCTGTACGGTCAGCGTTGCGGTTAACGTCTTCCATTTGTTTTCAGTTCTGAAAGTTTAACTCCTTCCTTCCTTCCCGGTTGGCAGTTAAGCGGTCATTAGCCTAGGCAGATCTGCTGTACAGATATAATGATGCCTTTTCAGTCCCTGGTTACCGCTGCCTCGGTAACTGATGATTCTAGAGTTAGTGAGGGGTTTTAATGCCAAACGAAAG